AAAAATATATAAAACAAAATAAAACAGAATAAAAGGAAGTTAAAAATAAGGGAGCCACCTCGCTAATTCCCCTGTCCCCCGGGGTCCCCAGGCCTGCTGGCATAACCAGGTCTTAAGGGACCTCCAGAAGTTCAACAATGACGAGGCCTGTCTCACCTCAGGGGGGAGAAGATTCCACAGTGCAGGTGCCACAGCAGAAAAGGCCCGCTGCCTGGGGCCTGCCGAACGTATTTCCCTAGGCGATGGAACCCATAACATGCCCTCTCTGCTGGATCTGGTAGGATGGGCAGATGAAATCGGGGAGAGGTGGTCCCTCCTTTGGTGTAATGCATAAACATTTCCTCATTAATTTGCCCTGTGTGTCTGTGGAGACACACATAAAAAGGGAGAAGCTTTTATCACTTGGTTGTGGCCACCATCTTGACTTTTTTGACCCCTACAAACACTCCTGGATGTTTATGAAGATAAGAGGCTTCATTAGGAATCAACTCTAGTACAATAGGAATCTGTTAGAACCCAGTTATCTCCTAAGATAAAGTATTTACCATTTTAAGAATTAACGTGTGCAAGACTAGGGGCAGTAACGGGAAATTTTATCAGAGTGGGCCATCACTGAAAAGGCCTTGTTCTAAGATATTATCAGGCTATGTTCTGATTACAGCTACATATCTCAATTCCTGGCATTCTTATTCTTTTTGCTATACTATTTTCAGCATTTCAAAGAAACAGCATGAAAGGTACCAAGCTGTGAAAATGTAGAATGAGGATAAACATAGAAGGCCTCTTTTGACTTCTAATGGTTCCTCAGTTTCATAGATTATATAAAATTGTAGCTATGAGGAGAACAAAGCCAAACAAGGACTAAATTTGAGGAAGCAAGGATTGTCTGCATGGGTAGAAACATGTGGAGACATATAGTGAATGGTTGGTTGAAGCTTTCCTGGATCGAGCTTATTTTCTGAGAAAAGTTAGGTATTCCCAGCAAATCTAGAAAAGGTGGCTAGTGTAATTAAAACACCCGGCTGGTTAAAATATTTACCAAACCTTTACATTTTGGAACATCTAACATACCCAATCAGTCCAGAGTTAATTAGTTCCACAGCTGGATGTACTTTACTAATGATTGACTTTTCTTCAAAACAACGTTCTTGAAATATATGTAGTTTGCACATACTGCAAAAATACCATAAGATTTTGTCTAGTGGATTCATCGGTACTGGAAAATGAAAGCAGTAGAGTTAACCAAATATATGCAGAAGGCCCTATGTTCATTATGGAATCACTGACAGCAAATCTTTATCATGTATGATTGGAGAACAGTTTTCAGGAGAGACACGCAGAAGTACTGGAATCCTGATGACCAAT